ATTCGAAGTTTCTGGTATCGTGTAGAAAAACAATGAAGATGATCACATTTCTGTAATAAATGTGGCCCTATGCATCATATTGATAGAGCTTAATAAAAACCAGTGTGCATAAATATGTGAATGAATTTAAAAATTATCAATACTGTTAATCTCTGACCATTCATTCCAAGAAATAAAGGCCAACAGCTAATCTATTTAGTCTACAATTACAACACTAAACTACAGGTACAATCAGTAAAAATCAGATGTCATTGTCATTTAACAAAATAAAAAACAAAATCTAGTGAATGATAATAAGGGCCAAGCAGCAAGGGAATTTAAAAAAATATATTATTTTGATAAAGGGAACATACACCATTCCGGGTGTCCCATGAAACATCAGAGGCCTGACATTAAAAAAAGTCATTTTACTTGGGTACTTGGGTGCTTGAGTGGCTCAGTCAGTTAAGCATGTGGCTTTGGCTCAGGTCATGATCTCACAGTTTGTGAGTTTGGGCTCCCCTTCAGATGAGCTCGAGGCCCACTTTGGGTGAGCTCCACTTCTCTTTCTCCCTCTCTTCCCTCTGCCTCTCCCTCACTTGCACTCAAAAAATAAAAAGTCATCTTACTTGAAACACTAAAAGTCGTATTGCAAAGGTGATAAGCAGGGTAATTTTTTCTTTATAGTAGAATAAATGTAAAGGTCAGACGTGACAGGGACACCTGGGTGGCTCAGGAGATCAACTTTGGCTCAGGTCATGATCTTGTGATTCCTGGGTTCAAACCCCATGTCAAGCTCTGGGCTGATAGCTCAGAGCCTGAAGCCTCCCTCTGGTTCTGTGTCTCCCTCTTTCTGCCCCTCCCCCGCTTACACTCTGTCTCTGTCACAAAAATAAATGAACATTAAAAAAATAATTAAAAAACAAAGGTCAGATGCTACAATATTGTCTGTGGTTTTCAAAGTGGGGCGATAACATTCTGAGGAATTAAAAGTTTTGTTAAAAGGGTAATCTATTTATTGAAGATAAATGGATATGTGGTAAAATTTAGTGCAAAGTGAGAGAAACTGTGTAAAGCATCTTAAAAGACTGAGTGAGGGAGAAGTGGCAAGACCTAACTTTTCAAACAAATACAGAAGAGGAATTCGTCTTTACCTTTCTGTCTCCAAGGGACAGAGCTATGAATAAAACAAGAAATGCACAGAGAAATGTATTGTGATATAATTTTAAGAAAAGAAAATCTAATGATGGCTGGTATTTAATGGATAGCTTCCAAAAAGCATTAAGTTCTCAACTCTTCATCTGTTCTAGCAGAGGTGAGGGACTACTTCGCATCTCCATTTTGTAGCTTCTGATGTACCAAATGAGTTGGAATAAGATAACATCTAAGACAAACACTTTTCAATTCTGACATATATGAAGTACTTAAGGGGGAAAAAAGTACCCACCATTGATGGTATGAGGAAATTCATGGAATTTCACTTTAGACCAGTTTGCTTACAGAACTATGAATGAATAACATACAGGGGAAGTTTTCCTAAGAAGTGAGAGGAGGGAGTGGTGCAAATTGCTTTACAAAGAATATCTATTTATAGAAAAATATACAGAGTGTGGTACAGCTGGTAAATCATGGAATCCAAATTATTTGTACTTCCTTTGGGGGAGGAGAGTGGAAAAGGACAAAGGTAAAGATGATACGAATGTAGGTAATAAAGAGAAAAGGTGGTGGAAAGGATTGACAGAAGGAGAGCATTAATAAATATTTTTGGGTTGAAGCAAGATAATTGGTCCTTTGGGAGCACTTCTGGGATTTTTTTTTATTCTTTTCCTCAGCATTATTTTTCTTTCAGAATATTATAAAATGAATCATTTTCTTTCATTTCTAGATTCTGTTTTGCAGTTGCCTTGGAAGTACTAGTTATGTTTTCCTTACATAAGAGAGGAGAGGCCTATTATTGTTGAAAGTTCATTTTTTAAAAAAAATATGCTTTAAAACTCAAAATAGTTAAAGATTATGTCTCAGCTATTTTTGAAATCATTATATGTATGATGAATATCAAGAAAATGGTAATGGAAAAATAGCATGGTGCCTGGAAAATCCTTTGTCAGAATTATTTAGACTTTGAGGGTTTTTTTGTTTTTTAAGAATTTTAAAGTAAAGCTAGACATTTAAACAGAACTTCAGGAAATCAGCACACAGCATCTAGCATGATATTATCATAGCAGCAGCTGAAGAAATACCGAAAGAGTTGTCTACAACCAAACTCTTACAGAATAATGAGTCTAAGGTCAAATGTGTCATTAATGAGTCATTAATTTAGAATGAAACTGTTCTCTCCATTTCTCAAAGTTAGTGCTGTATAAAAGATGGATATCGTGGCTTATTTTATTCATGAGTCAATAAACAATAAAGTATATTCTTGAGAGAAGTTGTTAGGTCTTATACCTCGAAAATACTTTTCTGGTTCAGAAGATATAACATCATAAAAAATAACTTTTACATTAAAGGCAAAAACAAAAACAAGAATAAAACAAAACAAAAAAAAAATCTAACAACCAGCAAACCAAAAAATGCAGAATGTCTCAAGAATAAAAATAGTAGTTCTACTGTACAGCATAGTGGCTACTGCTAAACAATAATGTATTCCATACTTAAAATTTCCCAAGAGGGTAGATCTTACATTAATTGTTCTCACCACATACAAGCACAAAAGAATAATAGTAGGAGTGAAAAAAAGCTTTGAGAAATGGTGAATATATTTATGGCCTTGATAATGATGATGGTTTCTTGGGTATGTAATTAACACCCAAATTCATGGACCTGTATACAGTAAGTATGTAAAGCTTTTTATATGTCAGCCATACAACAATAGCAACAAAAAGGTTTAAAAAAAAGAAAATGATAGCGACCAGGTAGTAAAGAAGCCAAAACTCCTAGCTGCAACTTTGAAGTCATTAATGCCACATTTTTTGCCCATCCACTTTGCCCATACATTTTCTCCTTCCTATGTTCCTTCCTATGTAGTGGCTATTGCCTGGGACGTGGTAAAGTATTCAACATATTACTTGTTAAATAAAGGAATTAATGAATGACTGAATGAAAGATAAAAAAAAGGAAGGAAAGAATTGACTGACAAATTCTAGAAAACAAATCACAGCCCATGCTTGGTGGTGACAAGCCAGAGTGCCTGGATTTGAAATCCAGTTCTGTCCATTGTTAACTATATGACCATGGACAAGTTAAGGAACATCTCCATACCTCAGTTCCTTTTTGTTTAAATAGAATAGGTTGCTGTGATAAACATATATTACAAAAAATGACTTTTAAAGACATGGTACATGCCAAATAAATACTAGTTATCAAGATTATTATAAAGGTCTTATTCAGAAAATTCAACACCAAGGTCACTGACAACTACGAAACTAGACAAATGGGGCTAAAGACAAGCTGTCTAAAGCCCAGGGAAGTGGGCATAATGCACTGTGAGGTTCAACCTCCAAAACTTGCACATCACAGAAACCGCAGTTCTGTCAAGAATATAGGTTGATCTTTTCCAAATGTGTGTTGGAGATAACGGCTCCTTGCAGTGATTAGAGGCCATGTTTTACAAGGGCAGACATATGACTAGAAATGAATATACTTATCTTACTTGAGAACTCTCTTCTATTAATTTTCTGTATTTGATGATTATCTTGTAGATTTTGTATAAAACAGTAAATGGAGATAAAGAAGTTTTATTAAGTGCAATCCCAAATTTTTACTGCTTATATGCTGCCTTAATTTTGCTTTTATTTATCATATAACTCCATGACTTAGAAAGGGCAGCCATGTGTTAGTGTCTGTCATTGCTCAAGGCTCCTGAAGCATGTAGGCAGCTGGCAAATAAAATAGCTGTAAAAATTCTGTCTGAGGGGAGAGGAGGAAGGGATCCATTTACACATGTGACAGAAGTCATATATTTTAACTTTATTTTTTATTTTTTAAAATTTACATCCAAATTAGTATATAGTGAAGCAATGATTTCAGGAGTAGATTCCTTAATGCCCCTTACCCATTTAGCCCATCCCCCCTCCCACAACCCCTCCAGCAACCCTCAGTGTTCTCCATATTTGTGAGTTTCTTTTGTTTTGTCCCCCTCCCTATTTTTATATTATTTTTGTTTCCCTTCCCTTATGTTCATCTGTTTTGTCTCTTAAAGTCCTCATATGAGAGACAGAAGTCATATAATGAATTGTGGGAAATCAGGGACTGCTTATACTGTCTACACTGTTGAATAAGGGACCACAGGGAGACACTGAAATGTATCTAACAATAAACCAGATAGTGGAGTCCCCTTTGTTATATAAAGCCCACCTCTCTAGCAGTTTGAATGTAACACTCTCTGGCTAATGGGTTACATTGGAAAAAAAACAAAAAAACAAAAAAACCATAATCTCTGTGTCTTGCTGTATCTACAAAAACTAGTGAAAATTCAGATTTGTTTTTAAAATGTCAATAAAGCAGATACAATTGAAATCTCCCACCACAAAATCTGCTCCCCCTTCTGTCCTATTTCTGCCAGCAATCACTGTTATGAATTAAATATGGCCGTTCTCCCGAATTCATATGTTGAAGTTCTAACCCCCAATATGACTATACTTGGAGATAGAGTCTTTAGACAGTAATTAAGGTTATTAATTAAATGAGGTAAGGGTGTAGTCCTAACCCGATAGGACTGGGGGCCTCGTAAGAAGAGAAAGAGAGATCTCTCTCTCAGCATAAGCACAGAGAAAGGCCATCTGAGGATGCAACAAGAAGATGGTTGTCTGCAAGCAGGAAGAGAGATCTCACCAGGAACTGAATGGGCCAGAACCTTGACCTTGAACTTCCCAGCTTCCAGAACTCTGAGTAAAATAAATTTTTTGTTGTGGAAGTCACCTTGTCTATGGTATTTTGTTATGACAGCCTGAACTAACACAGTCATACATTGGGAAACAAGAGCTTTATAAATACACACATAGTTTTGCATGAGTCACACTTACCATTAGCAGTCTATCTCCCACTTGCAACCTTCCATCTTTCTGTGCAGCTCCCCCATCTATAATTTTAGTTACATAAATGCTGTTGTCTCCGGGAATGTGTTGGTTCCCCACACCTCCTGCAATACTGAAGCCTAAACCTATGGGAAAGAAACAGAAAAAACAAAAGTGTTTTTTTTTTTTAAGAAAATACAATTAGCCATATTAAAACAGTCTAAAAAAATTAATCCTCAGTTTACTACAACAGTAATAAATGATAGTAAGGATTCTACTTCAATTGATTTTGTTCTTTAAATATTTGAAAGTTTATTGATTAATGCTAAGGAGGCAAAGCTTTTTTAGTCAAGCCCACGTGGTCATTAGTTTTGTTCTATTCCAAGACTGTACACCTAACTGCTGTTGCCTAGATAATTAGGTCATAATGGGTGACTGGCCAGAATAGGGATCAGGCAAAAGGATGTGGAAGAATCCTGGGTGAGCTGGGCAAAGCCCAAGTACAGTCCTGTACTGTTGAGTTTATGAGCTCTTCATTGTTGTTGTTGTTACTCTAGCACAGAGAACAGAAGTATTGCCAATCATCTGGGTAGAGACCTAGATACTCTTGATATTTCAAGATTAAAAGCACAGCTATTAGAAAATTTCACAAATTCTGAGACAAGAGCCACAAAGAAGATACATTAGATATTTATGTAATAATTTCAGAGAGAAGGTAAGGCAAAAAGAAATGAGATGCTTGTCTTTTGTATTTTCTTCTACGTCCACCCTGTCGTACTTTCATACTTCCTGGCACTTATTAACTGATAGTAAGACTTGTAACACACAAGAAATTAATCATTCCTGTACAAAGTCTAAAGAAGCAAAAATAGATCATATAGTGTGACTCTATTATTTTTATAACAAATTACAGAATATCAGATCATTTTAAACATGGCTGTTTCCAATTTTGAGAGATAAATGTATACTGTAATATAGCTGACAAAACTTTTATTTATATTAAACTATGGAATGATAAAAATAGAGTTATTTTAAAAATCTTTATGGAGGCCATTTTCGAAGAATGACTGATAGACTTTTTAAAGTGTAAAAATAAAAAAAAAATCCTTTTCAGAATATGATTGACTACAATTCAGTGCAATACTCGTAGCATATTTATTCATTACATTTCAAATTATAATAATTACCACACAAATTACTCATAAAGATATAAATCAAAGGATTTGTTACTAAAGGCATAGGAAATTTCTATAACTTACTTGGTTTAAGAATTTTTTTTTTTAACAAACCATCCACCTAGCTAACTTGTTTAAAAAAGAAACATACCCATTTTCAATAAAACAATCATAAAATTTTTTGGCACTTTATATGACAACAAAGAAACTACTTAAATAAACTCCATTTCCACTACACTTTTATTGAATAAATGTTGAATAGGGTTCTTAATGGCATAAATGATTAGATAATGGAGAAATAATGGCATAGTAAATTATAAAGTAACACCTCTGAAATTACATTTGAAATGAAATAATTTTTTGTTAAATTAACTATAATAGTTGTTGAAATAAATGGAAAATGGATTTAAATTGATAGGGCAATTAAAATAATTATTACCTAATTTCCTACTTAAGGTGGGTAATTATTCTTTATTGATGCTTTGACATCTCATAGATCTATACATATATTTACCTCAGATTTAAAGAATTTGTTTTTGAGCAAAAGATGACCAAGAGCAAGTAAAATGCTCCCAATTAGCTTTTCCTATGAAATTTAAAATACATTTTACCTCATATTTTCAAAACGGTTATTTTGCATTTATATATTATTATAGATTAGTTAAAAAATAAATTTATAAAAGTTTTATACCTGCCTGCTAGGATCAATCTACTGCATTTACATCCACTATAATAATAGTAAATGCCACAGGCTGACTGAGTTACAGAAAAGCTAAGGAAACAAATTACCACCATAAATAAGGTTAAGTCCAACAAAGAGAGTAACTATGCATTTGACATGTGAAGCTGAAGATTGTACCAAGGCAATAAAATCATTATACTGTAGACATAAACATATCAGCTAAAAAGGAAATATTTTTTCCCTTGAAATTAGGTTTAAATACTTCTTTTTAACTGGTGACTCTGCTCAAGGTGAAACAAGCTATTTTTATTAAGAACAAGAAAATGTTTCTGAGGGTACAGAATTGGAAATTTTCCTTGATTTCTCTGACTTTGATGGAACATGGATACATCGAAAAGTAATCAGCATTTAATCAACACTCAGCCATATACTTGAGATTTAATTCAACATAAGTAAATATGTAGCTTATGTCTACAACCAGAACACAAATTTATTTACTGGTGGGGGTATCCATCTGTGTTAGAAGATTGAACCTGTCCCCATTCATTCAACAAACATCTCCTGAGTACCTGCTATGAGTTGTATAAGCAGTTTCTATCAAGTGTGGTCAATATAATGTAAAGGAAGGATTGACCAAAACACTATAGAGATAGACATCCATATGAGTGAGTGTGGTTGAACCTGGCTGAAGCAATATTCTAAGCCTAGATGGTACCAATGATTTTTGGAGGAATACTTGATGAAGACAAATATGGGCTAAAACCACTGAGCAATCCAAACTTATCAGTTCGGAGGCACTGGGTGTTTCTTGCATATACAGTGTTAAAGCAGGGTCAGATGCCTATGTTATAGGACCATTCTATTCCCTCATTAGGTAATATACTCTTCCTTTATTCCAGTCTAGACACACTTGTAGCCTTGATACTTCTCCAACACAGTGGACATACTCCTACCTTACAGCATTTGCTCTAGCTGTTTCCTCTGCCTGGAATATACTTCCTTCAGGGTTTTGTTCAAATCTTGATTTCTCTAGAATCTTGAACCTCATTTCCTATTTAATACTGTCTTCTAACCATATATCCCACTTTTTTATACTGATCTACTTTTCATTTTTCCTTAGCACTTATCACCTTGTAACATATGTCACCCATGTAGTTTATTTTTTTATTGTCAGTCTCCTTGATGAAAATATAAAATCCATTAAAACAGGGATTTTTGTCATTTTATTTTATGCAATAGAACAAGACCAGTTATATAGTGACCTAATAATTATGTATTAAAGGAATGAATGAGGGGCGCTTGGATGGCTCAGTCGGTTAAGCGTCCTTCTTCAGCTCTGGTCATGTTCTCATGGTTTGTGAGTTTGAGCCTCATGTAGGGCTCAGTGCTGACAGCTCAGAGCCTGGAGCCTGCTTCGGATTCTGTGTCTCTCTCTTTCTCTGTGCCTCCCCTGCTTGCGCTCTGTCTCTCTCAAAAATAAATAAACATTAGAAAAAAATTAAAAAAATAAAAAAGGAATGAATAATGAACAATGAATAAACATATTAATATAAGACGAGGAAGAAAGCCTCCCCTAAGAGATGAAGCTTGTGGCCTTAATGAACAAGGAACAGCTAAAAAAGTGGACACTGTTGGTTGGAGTGGATAATTGTATGAGGCACTACATGCCTCAGGTGAACTCTGATCTCTGTCCCGAGTCTGCACAGAGTTTATGCCAACCACTGAGCAGGCAATGGGGCAACAGCAGACCCAGCTTCACATCCTGATTCCTTCATCAACTGACTGTATAAATTGGAGCCACAATGGTCTCGTCTGTGATAAAGGAGTAAGTATATCCATGTTCCATAGTAGTTAGCACATAAAAGATGCTTGATAAATAAAAATTCTCTGCTCTCAATAAGCTCTCAGGTTGTCTTGAGAAAAAGATATTTAAACACCTTGACATGATTTAACTGGCTAGAACAAGTTCTATAATGTCACTAGTGTTATGTGAGCCCAGAGGAGAACATGACTTGCTTAGAGGAAGAGAAGAATCAAGAGGTTTAGGAATTGGGCTGAGCTTTGAAGGTTAATTTAAAATCAATAACAGAGAACACACCTTTCAAACCAACACATCCTCTGGATTCCCGGCTGACAAAAGGACTAACAAGTCAGCTGCCCTAACTTACATTACACAATGCTCATAAAATCCTGGCTTTTGGGGCTGGAAATTGAGACAGAAATGCCTGGCAAACACTCAACATATGTACTTAAAATAAGCCAGAAAGGTTTCTAACAAGATAAATACAGTGAAGATTATGAAGATGTAAGTAAAGAGCATTACAAATAGCAAAAACATTGATTTTACAGAGGTGACCAATTTATAGAATTGATCATCATTTTGAAAATAAGCATCCATGACGAAGAAATGGCCCTGGACCATCAGGTAATGACAAACTAATCATTTATAAAACAGTGAAAACAGTTGGTAGGTCTCACCAAAAACACTGACCTTAACATAATCTACTATGGAATGTTTGGCTATTAAGAATAGTACTAAACATGCCTATGCATGTGCCAGTAATAAACAAAGCTGACACAGAAATATGTAAATATTAAAATCACAAAGGGAAGTAAAATTAGTGGATGTTTCTGAATGCGAGTAAAGAAAACAAACAGGTGAAACTTAAACACCTAATTCCCGAGACAATTAAAAACCGATGTGTTTGACAAACCTGTGATGTGCAAACAGAAATGCGGGCTTACACCTATCTTCTACAGCTGGGTTCCTCTTTCCATATTTCTTGCATATCCCCACCAAAGTGAAACTCCTCAAGTTAAGAAAGCAGGAAAAGACCTCTCTGACCTCAGCCGTAGCAATTTCTTACTTGACACATCCCCAAAGGCAAGGGAATTAAAAGCAAAAATGAACTACTGGGACCTTATGAAGATAAAAAGTTTCTGCACAGCAAAGGAAACAACCAACAAAACTAAAAGGCAACCAACGGAATGGGAAAAGATATTTGCAAATGACATATCAGACAAAGGGCTAGTATCCAAAATCTATAAAGAGCTCATCAAACTCCACACCCAAAAAACAAATAACCCAGTGAAGAAATGGGCAGAAAACATGAATAGACACTTCTCTAAAGAAGACATCCGGATGGCCAACAGGCACATGAAAAGATGCTCAACGTTGCTCCTCATTAGGGAAATACAAATCAAAGCCACACACAGATATCACCTCACGCCAGTCACAGTGGCCAAAATGAACAAAT